TGAGAGTTTTTTGTTTAGAGTTTGTAAATCTCTTGTTTTTATTCTTGTGAGTAATAGAAACTTGTTTTTCTCTCAAATATGTTTATGATCTTGGGATGATACCACAACATTTCGGACATCGGAGAGTGAGTGTAACTGGTGCCGATGAGCTTCGGTTTTTCTGATCGTTAATGTGTGTTTGTATGTATGTGTGTGTGTCGCTGTATGTATCTGTGTGTGTGTTGTGTGTAATGGTGTTGACTGACTTTTTCTTTTTCGTGTGTTGTGCGATTTTAATGTGTGTGTGTATGTGTGTTTTAGTGTGTGTGAGAGAGAGGGTATGCAAAAATTAATGTTTAGAATGTTAAAATGTCTAAAATATCCTTAATGAGTAAATAAGTGCTGAATTTTTTTGGCCATTGGATCATTTGATCTAATGGATACAATGTATTCTCATTTCTTCCATTGAGAACTTTTCTCACTGGAACCCAACCATATATATATATATTTATATATATATATATATGATTGGGTTCAAATGAGAATGATCTTCAGTGAAAAAAATAAGAATGAATCGCAACCATCTAATCGGATATAATCCAACGATTAAACAGAATCCAAACGTTTATACATATTAAGGGTAGATTGGACGTTTTATAATTACACACAATACGAGCCCCAAACCATCAGATCACTCCCCACCCCACCCACACATCTTCTCCGTCTCTCCCACACACTCACACACAGACATACACACACACAGACACACCTTCTCGTCAGTTCACAGCTCGTCTCACTGCCCCGCCGTCTGTAAGTTCTACCTTCGCCGCCGTGATTTCAGGAACGTCGCGCCTCCGCAAGGACCGCAACCGCTAGGAGCAGACATCCACCGCCCGCCACTCTGCCTTACGAAATTGCCGCCCCTTCTCCAACCGATCCGTCGCTGGAGTCCCTGTCCAGAGGAGACCCGCGTGCCGTTCACCGGGTTCACCTCCTCCGACGGCCTCGAAATTGACCTTCATCGTCTACATCGTCTTCATCGGCGTTGCCTCGCGACCCTGGATCGGCCGCCGCGGCAGGCTCTGCGGAATCTCCTACCCGTCAAATTGAAAGCAAAATCGGCCTCTCCGACTCCTTCTTCTCGCTTCTTGACGGCTGGACCTGCGACAACATCCGACGAATGATGTAGCGCATGGTGGTTTGTAGTTGATTGCTAAAAATTAAGTCGTCGGCGGGTTAAGTCTGGGCTGATTGTGTTTTGAGACTTAGATAGATTTGAGGACCTAATTGCAATTTATAAATTTCAATTATATTATAATTGAGTTTATAGGTCAAATCTATAATTTATAAAAATATTTAAAAATATTATTTTTGTATATATTCTTATACACATATATTATGTATTTTAAACCAAAATAATACTATAAAGTATTAAATTAACATATTAAAATACTGAATATAATTTTATATTATCAATAATAAATTAATTTGTTAATTTAAATTACGCATTATAATATATAACTAATATATTATATTTTCAACTAAAAATGATGTAAATATTAAATAAAAATACTAAAATAATTAATATTTTTTTATAAAAAATAGTTGCACTCCGAGTGCACATTAATGATAGAAGTATTCCACATTAGTAATCATTATATTGCACTATAGTGGTCGAAACAACCATACACAGTTTTGGGTTAGACTTTTATATTTTTGGGTCGATTATTTGTTTTTACTTTTAAAATTTTAGTTTCTTTGTTGTTTAAAATAACTGAAACTACTGAACTATACAGAAAAATAATATTTTGTTATATATATATTACGTATTTACAAACGTAAATAATTTAAAATATAAACAAAATTTCAACCCTTATTGTTTGAATTATAGGTACCGAAAAATCCAGATTTCACACAAAGATCTAAAAATAAAATACGCAGCGGAAATTAAAAAATTACGAAAGATTCAAAATTTAGCCTACAAGTGAATATCACTTGTAGACTAAGGCACATGCCAAAAATTCACTAGAACAAATCAAGTTTGATGATTTCCATACAATACCAAAACAATTCCAACACATCTAGTGAATGACGAAAATAATAAATCGCGAGTTTTAAACGAGATGCACTAAATAAAATCAAACTAATAGTCTGATGTAATATCCTCCAAAGCAAGAAACAAAAAATTGCTCCTTTGTATATGACACCACGCTGCTGCCTTGAGAACAATCGGAAAATGCTTCCTTCTATGTTTTCTACCCACGCTATGTCCTGCTCTTGCTCTGTCTCTCCATTTTCTTTTTTCCTCAAGCCTGCTAATCTCCGCAGCCCACCAGCAGGAAAGTTAAGAGTCCCAAAAGTCCTAAAGTGCTGTTGTCCTTTTTCTTTTTTTATCTTCCTAATCAAATACCTAATTAGATAAGGAAGGATATTAACACCATAAATAATATTTACTAATTATAATAAATAATAAAACAAAGAAAACCGAAAAGGATAGAAAAGCAAAAAAAAAAAAAATATATGAATTAACAATCTCCCCCTTTTTTGCTTTTCTGAACAAAAAACACATACAAAACTCCCCCTCAATAAGATAAATCCCCCGAAATAGATGCATAGTAAAAATGTATGAGAGATAGGGTAAGAAAGACAAACAGTGAAGTCGTCAAGTGTTTGATGACCGCCTAGCAGCCTGCTCTCTGTCATCTCCCCCGTTTTGATCAGAAAACAAGGACCTCAGAAAAATAGTATAGGAATCAAGAAACCACAGTTGCTCTTGAAGAGTTCTCCGATGGTCTGCGACAAGTGCCAATTGAATCACAACTTCCTCCCGAGAAACTGGAACACGTGAAAACGGTGCACGGGAGACCATCGAATCAGTAGAACGAGGAATCAGAGGAGGCCCGTCGGGTCTGGCAAAGAAAACCGGAAAGTCAACCACACGATCTCCCTCTGTATATGATCGGGCAACGGCAAATGGATCAAGGGGTGCCGTAAGAAAATCCGAAGGTGCTGGGGTAAAACCTTGTCGAACGAGAATCCCAAAAATAAGTGACGGCAACACCAAGATCGACCCCGAAGAACAACTACGAGAGATGGTGTCAAATAACATACTCCCCAGATCAAAAGGCAAATCCTTCCCGACACGATACAAAAACTGTGCAGAAGACTGTGTAATAACTGAGCTGTTCCTCGTCGGTGCCCAGTTGCTCACACACAACTTGTGAAGTATGGAATATAATGATGTGAGATATGAGCTGGGAAAACGGGCTTGCCATCGAGACACCCGACCACCCGTCAAATAAACAGCCACCTCATTCATATCAAACACAGAATCATGGGAAACACAGAATTGAACTCTTAAGTAATCACGAATCACAGCAGGGCTAAACTCATAAAAATAACACCGAACAAACACGCGTCTGGAAGAAATAGAGCTAGATGCCACAACCTCAGTCGCCGACTCAGATAAGTGAGCATAGAACTCCAAAATAACATCACGAACGTACGTCACAACATAGGACACAGAGGTTAAAAGATCACGTCGTCGTAGGAAATCATCAATATTATAACGAGCAAATGAATCGACATGGATACGACGATCGTCGATCACAGGAAGAGAACGTAAGAGATCAAACCTGTCTTGTGCCTCTCGAGTGCAAAAACGATCAGACAACATCGTGCCTGGTGCAGCCATTGTACGGACAAACGCTGATGAAGAGCTAGTGGCAGAGCTATCCCGAAAAAGGGGTTTCGGAACATGAGAATCTCTCTGCGGCTATCTGTCATGTGATGCATTAGGTCTGGTGGACTCAGAGGTGAGCGACTCAGACTCAAGTGGAGCAACAAAATCACTATCCCTCGAGTCGTCATCCTCCGAAGAAGACGATGAGCATGGGACAGCTGCAGCAGAGGTCGAGCGATTCTTTACGCTCGAAATAAAAGCAACCAAAGTCTCGTCACCGGAATCACTTGAAAAATCCAACTCGCTGAAACGATGCTCGGGAGTAGCCATGTGCTGAACCTCGGACGTAGCCATGGACGGAAGCGCGGGCTCTGGTGCGGGCTGAGACTCGGGCTCGGGTGCGGGCTGAGGCTCAGGCTCGGGTGTGGACTGAGGCTCAGGCTCGGATGCAGTCGTAGGCTCGAGTGTGCGTCCGGGTTGAGTAAATGAAGTGGCCTCATCATCATCAGAAGGAATATAAACACGAGACCGCTTCTCATCAAGCTGATTATCCGACCCAGAATCGGACGTCGGTACATATGACGCATCTTCAGAGTCCGACAACTCATGAGTTGGCTTTACATATGGCTCGAGAGAACGATATGCAACATATTGTGGCGAGCCGGTCAACGGAGGTGGTGTATGGAAACGCTTCGACCGGCGAAGAACCGGGGTACCGAGCGGCTCAAAGAAATTGAAATCATAAGCCAAACTCAAATCGATCGGGTTCCCGGCAACACCCGGCACCATAGAACTAAGAGGCTCGGGAGGATCCTCAGAAATTGCTGGAACAAAGAGCTAATGCAAAACTATCCAAACCTGATGTTGAAGAACAGGGAGGACAATTTGTAGAAGCTGGCAGCGTGGGGACAGTCTCGGTCTGTGACGACAACGACTTGGAAGCGGCACCTTGAGGCGCGACAGAGGCATGGAAGACCTTCTCCGGTAGAGATGAATTCTCACCTTGGCGAGAAACGCGGACGGAGATCCTAGCGAAAAGCAGCGGACCACGAGTAGAGACCGGAAGAGTTGGAGTGGTTGTTTCCGGCAGAGATTCTCCATCCCCACGATGCGACGGTCGCCGTGAAACACGACCAGAGGAAGGAAGACGGCGATTCGCTGTGGCCGTCGTTGAAGGAGGTCTGCGTGATTTCTCAGACGACGGCAAAGAGGGTTTCGGCGAAGATGAACCAATTGACGGCGATTTTCTCGCCGATCGTCGAAGAGCCATCAGAATTTGAGATATTGCCGGAGTAGAGTTGAGGAATTGCGATAAAACCCTAGGAATTAGAGTGTACGAGACTTGTGTTCTGCTCTGAAAAAAAACAACTGAGAGAGAGAAATAAAAAAAATGCTAGTAACTAAATAATAATTCCCTTTTTTTTACATAAAACGCAAAAGAGAAAACAACAAAAAAAAAATGCTAAAAGAAACATAAAAAAACGCTAGCAACGGCTGGAAGAAAAAATACACAGGACAGAAACAAATTTTCATAAGAGATGGGCAAGGCTTAAAAAAACACACATAATCAACAAATAAGGCTATCAGCGACAGGAACCTATTTCTCTAAGCCGTGGGCACGGCTTAACAAAGAGCTCCAAACACTAGAGACGACATGGCAGCTAAAGAAAATGAACCAAAGGGATTGACACACACATAAACTCATTACGAACACACCAAAATCAATAAGAATTAAATCACCTCATGAAAATCAAAACCGCAGATACGACTTTTACAATCCTTATGCGCGTCAATCTCATAATCACCCAAGATCTCAAACTCGCGAACTCACTCCACAGAGAGCACCAATTATTCAAAGAATTAGAAAATAGTTCCATGATTCACACTTTGCACAAGAAATCAAGATCATAGCTTTTACATTCACCAAGTATGCATGTCCTAATTATGCCTAAAAAGATAAAAAGAAAGCTAAGCGCGAACGGTATAATTAAAGTTAGCATAAAGAAATAACGACACATTTAACACTCTTACACAGACTGAAAAACCGCACCTTTTTTTTTTTTTTTTACCACGAAGGAATACTGATCATCGGGTAGCTTTCACACTAAACCAAAGGTAGCCTTCTTTCTACACGATCATACCTCTTTCAACATATTTTTAATTATAAAAGAATTCGGGCACAAGGATTAGCTGCACACTTACGGAGTAGGTAGCTCTTTCCCTTCACAGTCTCTAACATGCGATTTTTTTTATTTTTTTTTTTAAATGATCATATATATTTTTATTCGATACGACCAACAATCCATTTATCAAGTGAAAGAATGCACCACTACATCTTCATGCCTCCAACAAATACACCGTTTATGCAATAATAATGCAAATATGAATGAAAAGAAATAAAAAAATGCATGTATGCAAAACTCGTGTTCCAACGATGATGCATCGTGGAAGTTGCAACACTACTCCTATTCTAATTTAAACAACATAAAAACCGAGAGATTT